TCCTAAATCTGAATACACTCAAACCATGAGTGTATTAACCTGGAACAAACTTTGCTGCGCCTCGACAGTGCGTTTACATATGTGGTCCCAGCTCGGTTTTATTAACACAAAGACTAAATAATTTACCTACTTTATTTACTTACCTGTACTTGTTTTTTTGCAAAATGTGTTACTAGAAGGGTAAAAGCTTTATCAAAACCTAAGAACAGAATGCTGAGTAATTTAGTCAGCATGCCTCAAAGGAAACTGTTAAACAGTAGAAATGAAAGACATGCCACTTGTGAAGGTTTTACTGTATTAACACAGTCTATCAGCCCTGCTTCAGTTATTTTTACAAGCACCTTGCTTGGAAGAGGGTCCTAAATTAACTTAACATTTCTTTCTAATTGAGAAATTAAAATCAGGTCAGAGAAAGTACTAGATATTACACACACAATTTGAAACACTCCATGTTTATGACACTTGTTCACCAAACTTCAGAAGCACCAAACAGCTGAGAGTCTTTTTTTGTAGCCTAAATCAAAAATTGACCTGTCCAATGCTCAACTTCTGAAGAAATGTGGACTTAAAGAAAGCTGCCTTTGAAAAGCTCAGAGATTTTCTAAGGCTCAGTCTTAATATTTGCTAAACTGCTCAGTTAGACTCTCACAGAGCTGCTGAAAGAGAAAAGACTTGGTCCTTCAAGGTGAGAAGACAAGTTTAGGCTCTGAAGGAAGCCTGACACTGCATGCTCAGGCGAGCTGCTGTTTTCTTCATGTGATTTACAACAGTAGCAGCATTCAAAGCACAACCACCTCCTCTGCACAACTTACACTTGCGCAGAACAGAAAATTAAGAGGATGATGACTGTAAAGCACATTTCTCCTTCTCTAACCAAGGGGTTTTAGTCTCAAGGATTCTCTAAACCACACTAATTACTGACTAAAGTTGAAATAACCGCTGGCTCCTACAACTATCTCTTTTTATACAATATGAGGAAGAGCACCAGTTTATAGCTTAGCAGCCAGCATAAAGCTAGAACAGACACAATTTTCTCTACAACCTTTAGTGACAGAGCAAGTACACACACAAGTACGTACTGTTCAGACATACCAAGTTCAAGCTTATTTAGTTTCCCAAAATAATTTTCTATCTTCCATTTGCCTTCTTTATTACCACAGTCTAGAATATGGACAATATGCTGGAGACAAGGACTAAATAAAAAAAAAAAACAAACCCCAAACAAAAAAAACACCTCAAGTTGGTTAGTTGTTTAAGCTGAAGCAGACCTTACTTTTCAAGGTATCTATGACATACTCTGATAAACTAAGTAAAAATCAGTGCACTAGAGACAGCACCTGCACAGAGCCTTAACTAGAAGCAAGATAGGTCTGCATTTTTGGTGCTTCAGGTTACACATCAGTTTTGGGATTTCCCTCAGAGACTGCAGTGTCCTAAATTACAGAAACACTGGCTGGTGTCCTAAATCACAGATGCAGAAAGAGATGCTTGGCTCTCAACTGCCCCAACAACTCATTCTTATTGGCACCAAAACAAAGACAGCAAAGCGGATAAAACTGTATCATAAGTCAAAGCTGGTATAATAGCCCTACCTACTGCTGAAATTTTCTGTTGTCACAGTTGGGAATATTCCTGCACAAGACTAGAAAAATATTTAGAGACATTGAAAGAAATTATTAAAATTCAGCTTGGAAAAATTTTACAATATTCCCAGTTTCAAGGATAAATATGAAGCTTAAGATATATTCATGCATGGTGTTTTTTTGAAGGGTAGATGGAAAAGGGAAGTGGGAGAGAGAAAGGAAAGCTGGACTCTTCTACTGAGGACAGTAGAAGAGCCTTTTACCTTCCCTGTGAAAAGCTGCCTAAATTCTGAAGCTGAGATTGTAGCAGCTAGCAGGAGTTCGCACACAGAAGAGCTCGGTATGTGAATTATATACCAATTCACAAAGTACTGGGCAAGATCCAGAGTTGCAACAGTGCCAGCTGCTTTCAACCATTTCTTATAATATCATACTGGTACTGGTTAACAGTAGGTCATGGAAGGGTAGGTTCTTGTCAAATGCTGTTTTAACAGTGTTTCGCAGTAAAAGGGCTAATGAACCATGAAGTGAGACAGATTTGGGAGTAGTGAGTAATGCTACGTGAGTATGGTCCAGACAAAGTTATACATCAGCAAAACTTACCTGCCCTGCATGAGTGAAAAAGTGTATTTAAAACGGCCTTTGTTGGATAAGATCTGCAGTTACACATGCAATCAAAAAAGACACAGTACTTGGGTTAGAACAAATGAACAAAAACTCTACCACATGGCAAAAGGCTGGGGTAAGAACAAGATGCCAAACCAAATTCTTTACAAACACCCTGGACACTTGCTAACATTCAAAACTCTGGTATGTTTTAACTGAGCAGTTCTTTTGATTCATGTCAAAGACACGACTAAAAGCTTGCCAGGGGGCTTGTTGCAGTGTTCCTTCACTTTCCATTAGCAGTTTCTTGAGGCACATGACATAGTGGTTTACAAGAGAAAAAAGTCAATGCACAAAATGTAGAATTAAGCCAGGCAGAAAGAAAGTATGAAGTTCTGTGTTAAAAACCCAACCCTTAACTAGTCCAAACTGTATCCAGTTGGTTCTATGCCTACATAATAATCTCTGCAAGATTAAGCTATCTAATGGGTAAGAAATAAAATACAATTGACACGGGAGAAGTAATTTAACACCAACAGCTAAACAAATTTTGTTAAAAACAGACTTTTGAAGTTCTTGATGGAAGATGAAATAAAGGTTTAGTTAGGTGTGCCTGACTTCATAAAAATATTTTTTGATGCCTAAAGAAACAGATTGAAATGAGTGTTCTGGACAGTGTTCAGGCCATTAAGTTGTGAAAATGTTGGAGCAATTGGGGTCATATAATCAAAGTTTAATGAGAAGTCTGAGTTAACACTTTTCATTACTGGTGCACTACCTGAAATGAATTTGAATATATACTTTTTTGGTGCTTCTTCCATGCCAACTGAAATATGTTCCACCACTTGCATCTTGCTCTGGAAAGACTTAACTTCTGAAAAGAAGGAACAGTTGTTTTTCTACTCCTCTCCTCTTTCCTTGCATCATTTTATTGGATGAAGAACCTCTACCTCCTCCCAACATAAATGGAAGCAAACTAGGTTTAAACATTTAAAAAGATATAAAGGTTTATTAAATGAATCCAGATTTGACAGATATTACATAAATTAAACAGCAATAAAATTTTACTAGGGTTTATGTACAGATCACAGTGATTTTCATTGTGCAATGAGGGCTGACTTTGTAACTTTGAACAGTACTTATACATGTGAGCTACAACAAGCAACCAGCAACATACGTTAGTCCAAGTTAACCTCGCAAGTCTAGCAGTTCAAACTGATTATGCAGTACACAAATGCCTGCTACCACTATCACTACTTACTACACAACAGAGTATTTATAAAGCAGTCAAGGTTTGCCATAGAAAAGTGCAAAACGTGGAAAGTCTGTACACAGTACAGTACAAAAAGGAATCATGCTACAGTCATTGAAAGCTGAAAAATAATTCTATAGCATAGGAAGCACTGCATCACAACTCTTCTGAATGGCAAGCAGATGGGCTGAGGAACAGCCATATCTCAATTGCTTTCAAAACTGCAAAAATCCCTGTTCATCCATTTAAACATAGTTTAGTACCTATATTTGATCCATTAACAATGACTTTCTACAGTGGAAGATCACATTAGTTAAAGCTCAGTAGCACACATATTCATTGATCAAGCTAATTTACAGGAAAATCTACAGCATGTTCTCCATTGAAATCATGAAGCATTTATATCATTTGGTTACAAGGCAATTGAGTTTACAATGCACGTTTATCACTTAAAACCTCAAATTGGGCAATTAAAAATATATATATATATAAAACTCAAAAATAAAGGTTGTTTTTTAATGTTTAACATTCTTGTTCACCGAAGCAGAATACCAAAGGCCTATGGGCTCTTCCAAGAAAACAGTCCTTATGCAACAGTCTATACGCAAAAACACGTTAACAGAAGCAACCAAAATAAAATGAACTTCAGAGACTACCACACTCGAATCAAAAATAAAAAAGTGTTCTAGTCTGCTTAAAAAAAACCCATAAAACCAGAGTCCTTAGTGCAGTGTGTATCTGGGGACTTCTGTGTGAGCACTCAGACAGGACTATGTTAGTGGGCCATGAAGTCCCAGCAAAGACTTAAAATAAAATATTCACTTGTGCAAATAAATAAAATGGGCAGGTAATAACAGCTCAAGTTCAAGACTGTAGAGAAAATAACTGATCACTTAAAATAATGCTTCAACAATGTTTTGGTTTTTCTTTTAGTGAAGGATTTTAAATAAAAAAATTTGAAAGCAGTTTTGTACTAGAAAGCATGTTGACGAGGTCAGTAGTTAGGCATATGTACACATGGCTCTGGAAACAATGTTAAGTCAATGGATTAGCATTATTAATAAGATTGTACTCATTTCTTTAGTCTCTATCATAATGAGTGTCAGTGCATCCACTGCCAGCAATGGATAAGATTCATAAAAAGAAAATCGACGATCGCCTGTTGTTCAAGCATTCAAAACTTCTAACCACCACTGTGGCACATCAGCCAGATGTAACTTCATTTCCTCAGCTTTTGAAGACTTAAACACAGTGCAGTTTTTAAATTTGAAAAAAAAAAATGTATTTAGCATACTTGCTTGTTTCAGTTTGTACATTTTTAAATAAGAAACTGGTTTTGTAGTACTCAGATTCCATAAAATACTGTAAGCTTACACATTAAAAAACCTCTGAACTGTGCTTGCTCCCCTTAGACAAAGTAACCTGTGTTTTATGTGCTTCAGTTGTTCCCAATTGATTTGGAATAACTAATTCCACAGATACAAATACAGTGGACCAGATTCTTTTTTTTTTTTTTTTTTTTTCCCCTCAAGAGAATAAAGCATTTTTACCAGGTTAAAATGATGATTTTCCATGGATTTTCCTGTATTACATTATACATTCTTACACAGTATTTACTGAGTAGTAGCTGGGGGACACTTACATAACATCAAGAAGACTTTATGATATTCCAGAATTAGTACTTTGAAGTATCCTGATTTTGTTAAATATTGTGCATTTTTGCAGTTATGCAATCTCTTAAAGTTAGACTTGCTTTATGAAGAAATAGATCTAATACCCTAGAAACTGCAAGCTCTCAACAGCATTTCTGTACTGTTTAGAGCTAAACAAAAGAAAATGGAGGTCACTTTTTCATGAAGAGACTCCAGCTGCAGATCTGTCAAAATTATAAACAAGGCAATTTCAGTAGCGATTACTAGAATGTCTACTTCATAAGCATTCAGGATTTAGTTCGGAAAAATGAATCTTTGGCCTACATTTCTTATGGCATTTCAGATCAAAAATGTAGAGAGCCATTTGTGGGAGAAACTATCTGTATGATCTACTTAAAGAGTTTTATGTAGAGCCATCAGCCATAGTAGTGGAATTCCAGTGAGCTGATATGCTTTTGAAAAAAATATTTTTGGTCTAAATATCATAATTTCACTGAAAGTTATCTAAACCCACAACATCTGAAAGAATGTAATTACTTTTTGAAATCGAAGCACTTCAGAATCAATTCCCCTGTATCAACACAAGTTTCACAATACGCAACATGAAAAAAAGCTAAAAAAAGATCCTGACTTGTATACAATCTACCTTCATGTTTATGTGTATTCATATACATAGATACATACATATGCACATACCGATATTTGGTGCTACTTAAAATGAAGCAGTATTGCAAATACTTCCTAAATACAGTGTACTCAAGCTGCTAGAATGCTGTTAGTACAGGATGAAAAAAGACTCCTTACATCTAAGGTTTGAACTCTGTACATAGGGAATTCCTGGCAGCAGAGACTTTAGGACATTTCCAAAAGCAGGAGCAGAAAAATCAGACTCTAATATATATTCAGTCTTCCCTCTGATATTCTGAAGTGCCAAGCATTCAAAAACAACTATTTCAATAATGAAAAAAGTCTGTTATGGCTCATGCTTTACATTTGGAGAAGACAGCACGCTTGAGAGAGAACAACTCCTTTAAGAGCCAGTTAGAGCCCTTTTATCAGTATGCACTGAGTTGCGTCTTTACAGAGAGTCTTCATGTGAGGAATCTCATTTCAGACAGTGTATAATCACTCAATATCCTGGTTTGTAAAGAGACATCACTGTAACAGAACTTCATAAATTAGCCATTAAGTTGCATCTTAATCAACAATAAAACATGCCCTTGTCTTTCTGCTTTCAAGTACTATGGTTGCAAGTGTGAGGCATTGGAAATTTTAGGTACAAATCTTTTTTAAAACTTAATTATTTTTATTTTTTACAAAGAATTATAAAATGTATATAAGATGATGAAAAACTCATTTATCCTTTTAAGATTTTTATTCCTAGAGAACTTCTTGAAAAACATTATTTGAAAAATAAAAATCATAGACTCTGCAAAGTACAAAAATTTACATCTTTGCACAGTTCCTGTGCTTTAGTTGTATTGTATTCATTATATACATATATACTAATTTGTGCTTTTAATTACACAAGTTTAGTATAAACTTATAAAATTAAGTCTATGAGTTAACTATGCAAAAAGGATCTGTGAATAGCAGGAAACTTAACTAAACCATAAGTTAAAAAAAAAATCCTGAAATATACCATTTTAGTGAGTCTACTTCAGAGTAGACTATCAATATTACAATTTACTAAACTAATGTCAAATGTTTACAGCAAAAAGTTATTCTTGCCTGCCTCCATCTCTTTAGATATTTACTATATGCTAATACATATCTGAATGCAGTATCATTCTTATCTACAAAGGAAGTCTTCATTTATGCATGAACTCCATTTCTCTTCAGACTTGCTCTTAGCACTTCAATTTCCTTCCAGTTTCTAAGACAAAAAATAATGAAAAAGGAACACAAAATACAGTGTGGACCATGTGAACTGAATGACAACTATCAGCCTATCACAGTTACAAGACAGAATCCAGGGTATAGAATTAATCTGACAATCTTACTTCTCTAACTGAAGTCTTCATTCTTAACACAAAAATCTTGCAATCAAGAATAATTTCCTTATCTGTCAAATCAATCTAGATATTTGCTTTTAACACACTATTTTAAAAGTTTTAAGGACAGAACGACTTAAATATCTCTACGCAAATAACTTCATCACTGTAGAACACCAAAGCCTGTGAGATAAATTACCTTTGTCATTCCATAAGCCTGCTTCACAATATTTTATTTCAACAGTTTACTTTATACTATGTATTACTGTGATTCATGTTGTTTTTATGAGCTATAAGGAAGTATTAATCACTGTTATGAATCAGAAGATGTAATTTCTGCATACAGCTCTCATTCACAGACCTGCAATTGTTTGAAGAGGACTCCTGACATTTGGACATACCTCATCCAGTGTAGATGTCGCATTCAGAAGTTCTTGAAAATTTCTAGATCTTTAGGGGGTACCGGAGGCATCTTGTTCCAGTCATCTTCAGGATAAGCTTCAAAATTGGAAGTATCCCCATCATTGGATACTTTTGGTACTATGGGAGGCTAGTCAGAACAAGCACAACAAAAATGTTAGTACAGTTTCCTCAATGATCTCCTCTCCACCACATTAAAGCAGAAATTCTCTAAAAGACTGATTAAACAAAAGGGGTACGTATTTATAAAACTTCACCTTTTTCACAAATAATGAATGGCATGAGAGAGAGAAGCTTGCAGCGACACAGACATGTCCCAACACTTTGTCTATATTGCAGTTAAATATTGTGGTTAAAAGACACTTGTATTGCTGATACCTGTTTTATTTAGCACTCAAGTTCTAGCTACTTTGCAGACCAAAGGTAGCTACTGTAAAAGATTACTACAACTAAGCTTCCAGGCACGTGTTGTTACAGCATAATCTGCCACTCTCCTTCCTCACTCTTGCCCTCTTCTGTGTCCTATGAGCAAAAAAGGAGTGTAATCACATTAGGTTCCTTTCAAGAAAGAAAGAGTCTTGATGGCAGTGTGGGGAACTGCTTTCTAATTGAAGGAAAAAAGCTTCCTCTTCATTGCTTTCAAATAGATTGATTGCTTTCAAGAAGGTTGAGATGACTAATTTGTGTATGCCTCATAACACCTACTATGCTTTTTCCTAGACTAGCAATAAATTTGAGCAGGTAAAGAAATTGCTGCACTGTAAAAACTTATTTCACAAGCATGCCTGTAAAAGCATCTTAATTCAAATAGATCTTTTCAAGGAAGCTTGGAGGTGCCAAGAGAAATATCTGTTTTCTATTTCTTTCCTCAGAGGATCCTTTGGACTTCCAGTATTGCCTACAGGTACTGCAAAGCTAGTGGGTTTTCCTTGTCTTATATCAAGATTACTCTGCCCTTCTAGCCACAGGCAATGCGATAAAGCTCCTCTCTGGAACATTTCATTAATTGCAGGGGTTAACGTAGGGCAAACCCCTTTTCTTCTCTCAAGGGACATTCATCTCTCTAACCCCTTCTCAGTGACAGAGCGCTTAACTATCATCAGGACTCCAGCAAACACTTTAGAATGAGAAAACATTAAGGATGATCACCAAACTGGCTAATAAAAGTCATACCACAGAACGATAAAGTACAGCAAAATGTTATCCTGCACCTCCTCAAAAAGATAAAAGTCCAGCTTCCGCTAGCTCTGAGTTCTTATCTGAGCTTTTGGGCTTCTCAGTTTGAAACAATGCCATCAGCAGGTTTTCAATGGGAAAGAAAAGGTCCCTGAGGGACGGTACTTCTAAGCCTCAGACAAAAGCAAAGTCCTACTTTTGCATACAGCAGTCACAGTATGCTGCCCAGATGCTTAAGAAAATGTGCAGAATCTGCTCTGCTCCCAAGGACTATCTGTTCCACTGCAGGCAATGCCTGGCACCCCTACCTCCCTGTAAGCATTCTGGCAGGAAAAAGAGAAAAATAAAAAAAAGAGAGAAAGGAAAATCCTTTATTTTAGATTAACAAAATTATTTTCTCTCTTTCGGCCATTATTATTGTTTATATAATACTGATACTTAAGCTCTTATCAGGACCGTGGATCAATGCTTCATTTGTACAATAGGCCAATTCACACTTTTTAAAGGGAAAATGGAGCACTGTATCCATTATTTCATATTTTCAGTCTCTTCATCAGTATGAAATAGTGAGATTGTGAAAACTAATTCTGAAGAATATAGCTGCCTCTAGAAATAACAACGTAAAATTCTGACCCAATTCACATCCTTGCTCTGAAGTATAATTAAACAGAATTTAATCTTCTAAGAACTTAATGTATCCATCAGAAAAATTAAGAAAACAAGTTTTGGATTCATAATAATCTGAATACCATGGTGACTTTTTATTAAAAAAAAAAAAAAAATTAAAAAAATGCAACACAAAGGATGTTTGGACCTGAAACTTTTGATTTGGTCCTCTAACATTCAGGTTTTAATACTATTAGTTTGTTATTTATTTGGTAATACGGTAGGTTGTCATAAACTTCAGAGTTGAAATACTTATAAAACATGTTATCACCCAGTTTGTGTTCTTTGTTCATTTGTGTAAGCAGAATTTACAGTAAATAATTTGAAAAATGTGACTTCATTACAACAGATCTACATAAAACATCAACTGGGTGTAGTAATCATTAAAAAAAAAACCCCAAACCCACAAATTTAAAACAATGTAAATATTTTTTTTTTAAGGAAAAAAGTCACCTACAGCTTTGTATTAGGATGTTGTCTACAAGAATATATCAAGAACATTTTCATCTCTTAATTATTTTGCAAGAACTCAATTTAAGATATCTAGCCAGAAATTCATTGTAAGAAACTAATACAAAGAGAAGGAAAACCAAACATTTAAGTGGTACTTGATTGACTGCACATGGCAACCTATGTTACTGAAAATCACCGCTGTAAGAAATCGTAGTAGTTAGAACTTTGAGAAAGGAAGGAAAGAAGGCAGTTTTACTTCCAAAGGATTTTAAAAAGCATTTTGCAGTGTTGATAGCTTTTGCAAGCATCTGCCCTCCTATCATACCAGAATTCAGTGCTGTTAAAAAGTATGTTAGAGTTACATTCATAAATTCTTCTCTTTCACTTTCCCTATTCCTCCTACTCACATATGCTTTACATTTTATTAAAGCATTTACCTGAATTGAACTTGGCACAAAAATTTAAAGCCCAGAGTAAAATACTTCCACAGATATAAGGGCGGGGGTGCGGAATCAAAACAACAAACTGTCAATCTCCCCTCATCCCCCCAAACAAACAAACACTTACAAGAAGTAATTACTTACAAAATCCTAAAACTGAAAATTAAATTTGTATTAACTAATCAGATTCAGCAAAACAAAGCAGGGATTTTTTTCTTAGACATTTTGTATATAGACAAAAATGCAAGTAGACTTTCATATAATTAATTCTGCAGTGTAAAAGGGCAAAAATGCATGTAATTATTGATGTGTGCATATACATACATGCTCATACACACATACAAATACACAGACACAACAGACCACAAAACCTGAACAGATCAGCTTAAATGAACAATGATTTCTTGTTGCAATGTCCTATACAGTATTTTGCAGAATATACCTTTAGTCTCCTTTGAGGTACAGCATCCCAGTCTATAGACCTGAACCATCGATGTCTCTTCACATCATCTGCTCCATTCTTTAAAGAAAAAACCAAATTTAATATTTAGTGAGTTATATGTATGCCAAACCATGTATTTCACCATAAGAACTGTGGTAAAAAGGTAGACTAATGGTCTAACTTTTTTTCTTTCCTCAGGTGATAATCATTAAAGGATTCTACAGGATAAATTCATAGTTTTATTTCCCTAGCAGATCCTGAGTTCCGGCAGTAAGATCCATTTTTTTTTTTTTAAGCAGCATTCTTCTGACACAAGGGAGGTCAAGAACAGGCTTTAAAATGCCCACAAAATCCTTCACTGCAGTTCTATTCACTTCTGTTTCCTCCAACATTTTAGAAAGCATATCTGAATAAGAGGCATTCTCTAATTCTCACACTAATAAAAAAAAAAATTGAGCGTTGATGGTGTCAAATAAAAATTATGTCTGGGAATCACGTAGTTCCATCAAATATTACAGAGGTTTAATGCTGACAACAAGAGGTTCTCAGTACTGTTACAAAAGTATTCATATAAAAACATTTGTTTTCATTTTAGATATACAGTTAAAGGCATATTTGTCTTGTAATGATTATTCTCTCTCAGCTGACTGTTTTGATTATGTGCATAAAGAATGAAAATGTCTCCCCCGGCTTCCCCCCAGATGAAGCTTGGTACAAGCACAGACTCCTTCTCAAGGCATTAAGCACTGGGCAAAACCAGCTGGTTCTCTGTCTCAGGCCTGATCACAGCATAATTTTAATACACAGCACTCAAGCTCATACCACATGCAGCTCCACAGAATGAAGCATATCACACATTTGTTTTTTTCTGATGTATATGGAGTAGGAGTATCCATGCTCCTATCCAAAGAAGGAACAAGAAGAGTAATTTATCATCTAGTTCCCTCAAAAGCAGATCTGACAATGCTTCACCAGAAAATGCCCAATGGGATTTAAGCCTTTTTAAACCAACTAAGATTTTTTAAAAGGATCAGACTTAAGACTGACCTACCGCCCCCACCCCAAATCCCGCTTCTAATTAGAACTATTTTTGATTTTGACATTTTAGCCAACTGTACAGAAAAAAACCAAACAAACCAAAACAACCACAGACTAAAAAAACCCCAACAACCAAACCAAAAAACTCCCAAAAAACGAAAGCCAGCGAAACACACTTCCTAAAACCCATGTTCAAATAAACCAAGGTTTGCTTTTGTTTTTGTCTTCCTTCAAAACTGTCAAAAGATAAAAAAGTGTTCACTGGTCAATAACTTTCTAAATTTTCAGCTTATGAAGTTTGGTTTTAATCCTCCTGCTCTCACCCCCACCCTGAAAAACACTGGAAAGAACTCTGAAGGATAAGAAAAACATTTATTTCCTAGCTTTTCTTACCAGTCTAAGTTTGTGCCATAAAAGGCTCTGAAAAGGAACTTTGGACAGCAGGTTCTAGCATCTATACTTATATCAGTATGTTCAAGGAACCTGGATGACCCTGCATCTTTTACATTCTTCACTTATGTGCACCATAAACTGTGCTTTGTGCAAAAAAGCAAACTTCTAACCTCCACTGCCCAAGGAGATGGAATTTTTAGCTGTCTCTATAAAACTAAAAGATTACACAGCTAATTTATGTACCTGCAACAGTGTAACAACCATAACAAGCCAATGAATACAGAATTATCTTACTCTGCCAAAGGGTAAATTAACCTACACTGAGTTTTGTGCGGTAGCTCGGCTAGTCTGTTAAAGTACCTGAGTTTGTTCGCATGCAGCTAACTTCTCACTGCACTACCAACCATAGCTACTGCACAGCTGCAGAATCAAATAAGCTTGTAATACAGCTGTCATCTTCTTGGCATTACAAGTAGTACCACATCAGGACACCACACAGAATTCACAGGACTGCTTTGTGTTCCTCCTTGATATATCACAGATGTAGACGCATTTCTGAGGTAGGAACACGTGAGCGTATTTGTCATTAGTAAGCTATTGCCTTCAGAAGTCTGTTCAGAATGGGATGAATAATTCTTCTTGGTGGAAGCCTGTTTAACTGTGCTTAATCAGCCCCACCACCAACTATCAGGACAATGACCAAACGTCATGGTACTACAACAACCTTTATATTCCTTAAAATAATTTTTAAGCTTCAAATTTGGTTAGTGCTCCTTCTGGGATTAAACAACTCCCAAGAAAGAAGCAAAATCAGCTGGTGCTATCCTACAGGACTTGACACCATGTTTCTGGTCTAATGTAATGGTCTAATGTAAATCTTCAAATTAATCAGGAAACAGGTAGGGTTTCTCTTTTTTCCTTCTCTGTTTTTTTTGGGGGGTGGGGTGGGTGGGGAGGGAAACTGTCAAGAAGGATAGCATTAATCCAGGCAAACAGGAGTATCATTTCCAGAAATACACTGTTAAACTTTGCATTTAGGATTGCACAACTGAATTAATGTATGGGAAAATATATCTCAATTTCACACTTATAAAAACAAAAGCCATAGAAGACCTGTTCTACATCATTCCTACAGAATTCTTTCAACCTTGTACTATGTTCTGCATTACACCTAACATTTTATACTGACCTTCATATTTCCTAATCGTCTTGTCCTGTCTACCACAAGCAGCTTCTTAATAAGGTCTCTGCAGTAAAGAAAACATGTTCTCTGTTAAACAAAAGTAATTTATATTTGACTGTCATACAAACGTTACAGAATATAAGCATACTTCCCTTTGACTAGCTAATACTATGTATAATTTACCCATTCATTTCCTACATATTTTAGGACACTTAAGAGTGAATGATAAAAAGGAATAACCTGTTCTAAAAGGAACTTGCAGAATTCTTACAAGTTCCTTTTAGACTCTTTCAAGAAAGAAAGGAGAAAAATTTTCTCTCTCTCTCCTCCCCTGCCCCCCCTCCGAGTAGTACTATATCTTTCTTTGTTTTTTTGTATTTTGCTGGGCATCCCAAATCTCAAAATAGATCTCAAACATATTTGGCAGAACACAACTCTAATATATATATATAAAAAAAAAACTGATAAACCTGCACCCTCAACTTTATACATTGATATTTAAACCGTGGCAGCTAAACATTCAGAGAAACGGTGGAAGAGCTAGTCAGCTGCTTTAAACTACTAACATCTATAAGCTTTAATTTAATTGAAAATGAAAAGCCTCCCCTGAGATTTTAGTTCATTGAACAGTTCTACATAAAGCTAAATCAACATTTTAAAAGATGAATGCAAGTTTAGAGACATAACGGACTTCCATTTTAATAGCAAAGTACTTTAAATATTAAGCACCAAAACCCCAACATTCAAAGTGAGCATCACAATTTATTGAGTTAGCTTCATTACTTCTGACCTGAGAGAAAAATCTGGCTTCACAGTTCTATAAACAGTTACTTTTTATCTCAAAGACTATTTTGCTGTTTATTTTTAGGATAATAGCATTCTGGTCTCATTGCATAAAGTACCAATGACAGGAAAGAACAAAAGTTTAGCCATCCTTCTTCTTCCTATATCCTCAAACAGACCTGAGAGATGCAATACTGCATGAAATGCTGGGAATCTACAGAGTATGGCTAATTCCAATTTTTAACTTTGTAGAAGGTTTAAAAAAACCCAACAGTTTTATTTACAGAAAAGAATGCAAACCTATTAATGACACACCTGTCTCTCTCTATCCCTAACTGTAACACCTACTATCCCAAAACAAAAACAGTATTCTGTCACCTACCCTTGAAATCACAAAAGTGTATGCACAAATATATGAACTGAGAGTTAATGTGCTAGACTGTTTGAAAAGCTGTTGTATTTGGCAGGAATATAGTTCTAAAATTCAGCTATAAAAATATTCAGTTGCTAGATAAAAGGAGAATAAAAAAGTCAAGGTAGAAAGCAACTTTAAAAACTCTCATGATCATTCCAGCCAATCAATATTTGAATTGGATTAAATTATGTGACCAACTCCTTTTACAGTCGTCTTCGCAGAAATACCTTCTCCCAGTTCTTCGCGGAGAATACTATTCGTTATGCAGAAGGCTACAAGAACGGCTATAACCGGGCTTTAAAACAGAAGGAGGACTGAAAAAAAATCCAGAACACAGGCTACATGGCCAAAGATAAATCATGGAGTTTCCTATTCCTGTATACCCAGAAAACATTCAGTGGATCATTCTTGGCTTGCTTCAAAAATTCACCTTATAAAAGAACAGTTAGGGGATGAGCTTGCTCAGTGATACTGTGTTGTCACTAAAGATGAAGACATTTGCTGCATTCAATAGAACAAACACCCATTAAATTGAAACAAGTAATAGATTGTTTAGTACTTCTTTATTACATAGTTTCTCAAGAGTAATTTAGAAATGATCATGTTAAAGTCAATTCAATAGATATGTTGCTGTATGTATGTAGAGAATGAACTTCTACACCAAGGTCTTTCCAGACCAATAACCATTAAACTGCCGTAGCACTGGTGTTTCATTTGGTATTTTCCAAAAGTGTCTTTGCAAAGAAAAGTTTACAAAAGCAAAAAAAGAAAAATATAAAGAAATAACTTATAAACTCATTAGTGGCCAAAGAAATAGGTGGACCATAATTGATACTTATGTTTTATCAGAAATTAAATAACACAAAACTCTGCTGACAGTCTTATTCTGGGATTTCTAGTTGGTTAATTTATCATCATCAGGGCAGAAGTTGCTCTTCAGAAGAGATCTGAACTAATGGTCAAATGTGTCAAGGACTTCATGTATACAGGACAAAGGACTTGGAGAAAACACCTGATCAACTTGCAAGGTGGCTAGCAAAAGGGACACAGCAGAGAGCAATGTGAAGAGATGGTAGCTTAGGCCAGAAGGAACAGCACTTATACAAGACACCCAGCAGCTATACAGCACAGTAAAAGACAGTGAACATCATGCAGCAGGAGGTAAAGCAAAAGTAGTACAAATTCAAAAAGTAGAAAGTGTGGGAGGGTGATAGGGGGTAGAAGGGCAAAAAATGTCAACCAGTAAGTTTACATAGTAAATCTAGGTAGAAAAGTTTTCTCAGAATTCAAAAAGGAAAATAGTTTTGCTGCCTAAAAGCAGAGAGTTAAAGTTCAATTGTTATAAACACAGTATAGCACTAATACTTCAGACATAGCCTGGATGTGTCAGGACCCAAGATAGTCGTCTTCCTTGCTGAGATACCAACTGATAGGAAGAAGAGAGAAAAATCAAGCGGGATCCAAGTAAGGCAAGAAGCAGACTGTCGCCTTAGGACAAAATAATCTTGGCACCTGCTTTAAGCTAATGGTGCAGATGTCAAAGACCATCCAGTTCTGCATACTGTGGTTCGAAAAAAAAGGAAGAGGGGTTGACAGAAGAGAGATACATTATGCTAACAACTCACTGCAGAAAGCAGGTGAAGCCTCGCAAATGAATGAGATCACCCAAAACCAGGGTGTGAAAGGAGGAAAGCCCAAGGTAGAACCCCATGAGACCCCTTAAAGGCAGGAGTGTACTGGGAACAAGCTGCCAAAACACACTGAAAGGACATCTGGATAAGAAAAGCTGGGAAAGAGGTGTATCAACAACTATGTTGATTAATGTATCCTACAATTCATTGGCAGTCACGTCTAGACTGAAGAGCAAAACCTGCGTATGCATGCTTACTACCATAACTAGGAAACTTCACAGCATCAGGCATCTTCTGGACAGTAGAAATCAGTGGTGGTCTGTGAATGTCAAGCACGAACAGAAGCCAGCAGCATCTCTACTTTTAAATGCTTCCACCATGTTAGACAGGTTGCTAGTGATAATAACCTAATTTGAGCTGTTCATTTTCTGGTCACACTCTTATACTTTAGTGCACACAACACTATGTGAGATACTCAGTTTTCTTCTTAAGACAGACTGGATTGGGAAGACAAAACAATGAGACTACATTAAATTGGAAACACCATCGAGATAATAAGGGAAAACTCTGTTAAGAACAGACACAAATATGAGACACTAATCAGCCTAATGTGATGTAGATGTGCTTGATTCAGTGCGCCTGATGATCAGTGGAGGCTTAAAAAATCCTCCCCAAATGATTATTTTTGCAAGAGAATTCATAACAGTTCAGAGAAAGTTGGACAGATTTCATTAGATTTACCATATATTTTATCTATTTACCTAGTGACAGTAAGCAAGTGCCATCTCTATGGTCACTTCTTCAAAACACCTTGAATGATTAACCTGGGAACATAAGAATAACTTCCTGTCCTCGTTCACTCAGTCATCTCTGCTTCTGAGCAGAAACTTCATGTTTAAAATTGCACTTCTTCTGTTCTAATGTGTACTCACAATTATTTCAAGTATGGAATTTTTCAATAGGGAAAAAAGCATTTCATCTGCAATATACCTGTCAGAATTGCAAAATACTATGAATAAAACCCATACATGCATATATAAGACTGCATATTGAACTGGGGCCCTGCTATCGAAATGGAAGTTGATTTTATACTGGAACTTCTGAAGCATCAGACAGTTCATTAGAATAGCTATGTTGCAGAGTGATTTAACTGGTTTGTATGCATATAAAGGAACAGTTTAGTATTCGCTTCCTGCTCTCCGAATTTTTACTCATATTAAATTATCTCCTCATATTTCTCCTCTTTTCTTTCTTCCAGGCACCAATCTGGTACCAACGAGCTTTGCGCAAGGTAGAAAAGCATTTCATATTCCAAAATATGCAGAAAAGTAAGAGATGCAGACACTATCTTACAAATGTATCTCCAGCTTGAGAACTACCAAACACATGATTTTACTTGGACTGCAAGAGTAAATGTAATTAAAATATTTTCCAACGTGGCATTTTAGAAAATCAGAATCTGGTATCTGGTCTTCTATGAAGATCCTTTAGAAACAGTGCTCAGGAGGTGTTTAGAATATAAAAGACAGTGTTGGGAGTCATGGACTTACTTTACATATAAATCCAAATGCCTCGGGAAATCTATTTTGCCAGCAAGAATCTTCTGATATATACCAAATGGATTGTCATCAAAAAACGGAGGAAACCTATTTTAATACAGCAAATTTTTAGAGGTTAGAAAAAGAATTTCTAAAAAATCTTATAAACATTATGATGTTATAGTAATTCCCCTCAGAAACTATTTTATAGTTCTTTATGGTAGGGCATCATCAATCAAATACTAACTTGAAGAATAACAGGTAAAGGCTGCTATTGCAAAACAAAAAACATTTTTGTACACAGCACCATGAATACAGAATTAGAATTGAAGTATTACAAGAGAGATTTTTGTTACATTAATACAGTAAAAATATCAATTATGAAACAAATTTTCAGTGTTAAAGTAAAAAATGCTTTGCCTTTATAAACCCAAGGGTATACTTTCCAAAACAGCATTACCATTTTTGTTCTTGTCCTGTAACTGCAGGCATACCCTTCCTTATTCACTAGTTTCTATTTAAAGTTTCAGAGGACCCTCAGATGAATATTGTCCAGTTCAGTTATTTATTGTACTGCCAGAATTCAAGTATATGTTTTGTTAGAGAAGGTTTGAAAGAGACAGACTGTTCAGAACCTGAAATTCTCTCAAGTGCAGCTGTCTTTCCGTGTTGGACAGATAAAGTACTTGTTTCATAATCTTCCCAAGATGATCAGTAAACCAAGATGCAATTAAATTTCTACTTTTGCTATTTTCTAGAAAGTTCTTCACGAAGTTATGAGCTAACAGAGAGACTACTTCTTGTCTTATAGCTACAGTAAGAATTGAAAGTTTTCTGTTGTGCTTCCTTTACTAGTTATAATACATACCCTGATTACTGCAAGCAGCTCAGAGTATGGGTGCATCAGTACAGTCAGTATAAGCAGCTTAGGCCAAGTGCCAACAAGTTTTCAGAGTGGCAGTCACCTTTTTAGAAGTTACCACAGGAAACCTTTTAGGGGAATGGAATAACTAACTACTCATTCACTAATCTCAGTCCCACCTTGACTTCTGTAACATGACCAAAGCATCCCTCCTACTATGCTTCTGTCTCAAAACCCCTACAGAATAGAAAAAAAGGGATTTTGAGTATCAACTGTATTAGTAACATCCAACCACCATTACAGTCCAACGTTTAAAATATTTTCACATCTCCCTAACGTTTTATAAGTACTTTCTAAGAGAACTTAACTGCATGTGTACACACACAAATACAGTGCTGGTGGCTTTGGAAATCATTGGTAGCACAAACAAGGCTGAAAACAATGTTTCTTCATTTCACATTCTTTCCTTAATTTATGCTACTCAAAGTAGCTTATTCCTCAACAAGTACTCTACATTATTTCCATTATGTGTTTTCAGAAGTACTAATTTCTTCATTATTCATCTGATGGTCAAGTGAATTAGCATTTCCTTTGAAATACTGTAAAATTCAGCCACAAACAAAACCAAATTCCATCAGAATAGTTAAATAAAGTCGTCTGTACGCATAAAGTAAAAAAAGTAATACTTCAAAACACAGAAAAGCATGACAAAACTACATGATTAAGGAAAGACTGAAGAACATTTGTTGATGGTGTTCAGAAAGCCAGAGTATTTTCATTCTGAAAAACTGAATAGTCTCAGCTAGAAAGAAACTGGAAAATATAAGAATCTCAGGAAAAAATATTTATGTTTTTATAAATTCCTGCTCTGACACTAAAGAACAAGGAAAATGTGATAGATATTTAACATATATAAAATTTTCCCACACCACAGAGACTATCATATAAAGTTTCTTTTTCAGTCAGGCAACATTATGTTCTTCACATTCGCCAAAGCAAGTTGACAAACAGTACACTCAATTTCCAATTTTGTATTTGTTATTAGATATTAGCATCTATAAATGCATAAAGCAATCAGAATGAGACTTTGTAACTATGTATTACAAAGGTGCCAGCTGCAATTAAGCAGATTGATATGAAATGCAGCAAGGTTTTTTTCCCTCCATTTCCAAACATTCTTCACACCTCAGTAGTGTACAATCAAGAAAAATAAGAAGTATGTATAAGTTTTTACATATTTACATATGTTTAAATTGCTCTTTGCTTTCCCACTTTGAAAATACAAAATTACTATGTCTAGAATTCTTGAGAGAAATTTAAATCACACTTGGCTATATAATAATTTAATGGCAATACTGCTTAAAGTGCATTTGAACTGTATGCAAAATGGGAATAGCTTTGGAAGATTACATAGTTTTCTTACAGACAAACCAAGTAACTTAACTTTGATACTACTTGTAAATATCAATCTTCAACACAGAACAGATTTTAGACAAAACAATGCAAGTATTGTGCTGGAAGCTACCTAATAAATCATCAAAAACCCCCTTGAGTTTCAGACTGTCTTCACACCATAACACAAATACAAACAGCTGCCTTTTTCCACCAACTGAAAAGCTGCTAAAAAAAAAAAAAATATCTCTGTATATAGGACAACAGCTGCAAACCATTCCTTTTGCTAACTGACACATAACAATGGCACTGACATTGGTCTCAAAGATAACAGGTAGTTTTAGCACTGGAGAAGAGAAATTGTAAAACCTCAAGGGAAAATACACAAGTCTGAGAATATTAAACCGTGGACAGGAAACATTAGCTACCTAAAATGATAGACCAGCACACCTCATACGACCACCAAAGCAAAACAAGAAAAACCACAAAGCCCTCATCAAATGAGAAAATTCAGTTAGATACACACCTAATGAGAGTACAATTATGACCTAACATATCTAACATTAAATAACAAGTATATTTTCCTCTATGGTAGATTGTAACAGAACACGTTTACTCAAAATAAATAGATCTTTCAACTCTTTCTATTGACAGTTTGTTTAGCTTGTTTAGATTAACTCTATGAACTTGATATTACTAATCTGTTCTGTAAAGATTTCTTCTCACCCCTGGTTTTCTCCATTCTTTCCCCTTCCTACATTTTACTATCTTAAACCTAAATGGGACCATGCCTTAAGCCTAGTGTGTGCAGAACTAGAATTCCATGAGCCTCTAGAGATTAAGTTAGAGAAATAAGACACTGCAGAACAGGAAAGTGTGGTTTTGTTTGTTTGTTTTTAGAGAGACCATTTCCTTAACACACACATCTACCAATCTTCTCAATTGCTTTTGGGGTTCAGAGAGAGTAACTTCAGGAAATAACTACCAAATGTCTTAAATAATTTACTTGCAGACAATAACTTAGTCTTAAAGTCAGGGTTTTTTCACCTTCAAATAATTTTCATATTTCTTAAATCATCTTTGAATTTCAAGGGATAAAGTTACCTAGGACTGTTTTTGCATTAAAAGCCTTGATAGTAAATATCAAGCCACATCTTGAGTTGAGTTTTAAAACACTACTGCCAACAGCATCGAAAAGCTGATAAAATGCTAAAAGCATATGCCCTATGTGACAACCTGCCTTCCTAAGGAAAACACAGGCAAGCCACAATCCCTGTCCCCATCAACCTCCCAAACCCTAGAATCTTAAAAATTCTAAGCAAACAGTATAAACCTACACCCTCCACACCCCCCAAAAAACCCAAAAAACAAACCCGAAAAACCACAGAGCAAAACCAAAAAACCTCAACCAAACTTGGGTAGAGTCCCTATCCAAAGGCGTGATAGGGACTCCACCCAAACGCTAAAAAATAAAAAGAAGCATCCAATCATTATGAAGACCACATCTACACAAATACTGTAGTAAAAACCATTACAAAACCACTTTCAGCAGACAGCTGCTCTGTCAATCAGCTTATATAAGGTCTCGGTTGCCTTTTAGAAATGTGTAATTTATCTCTATTGGTTACGAGTCTCTATAGCCAAAGTGTTTATATTAAGCTTGGGGAAATCCAGATCTCATCACTTGAGCCAGATAGTGTCAGGACACAGAAGATCCTACATAGAAATGATTGCAGCTGCTCCCTTTTTTTATGAAGAATATATACCCGTCATATTTCAGTAGAATATATAGCAGTCATACTTCAGCACCATGCAGTCTTGAGGTCTCAATGACTCCAGAGATGAGATCTTGCTTGATTATCACCTGTAGTCAGTATGTTAACTTTGGAAACCATGCTTCTATTACTGCTATAGTAGAGAGAATCGTACCAGTGTCTCTGTAAGTCACAGAAAGAAAAAACGCCCAATATCCACTTACACTGAGACCACACAGACCAAACAGAGAGTGGTCCCACTGAAACCTGCGGCAGGAAAGTAAATCACTCAGACTACAGCTGGGAGACTGCAGCACTTGCACTCACATTACAGCACCAGACACTTTTATCTACAGTCTTCATGCTGTCTAGGACTAAGATTAGTGGCAACAAGGCTGCTGGGAATCTCCTTTCATCCCTCCGAGAAGGATTCCCTTGACCAACTTGGGCTGCTGAGCCTTACAGGGAGAGGTGGAAGAAAGGTGAAGTCTGGCCTCTACACACATCAGCCTACATAAATAATGACTTTTTATTAGACCAGTCAGCCAAGGCTGCCTGGGTCAGTACGGAACTATTAGTACATTTTTATGCTTTTTCTGTCCAGAAATTGCCTTGAGATTCAAAGTAAATGCATGTGCAAGCCTTCAGGACATTAAGAAAGCAAGCAGTGGGCAGCAGTGCTGTCTGGGGATAAAGATTTGATGCTGTGACTTCTTCACAGCAAACACAAGCGATGGACTGGAGCTCTGAAGTGACCATCCATCAGAGGAACAGTCTGCTCAGGCAACCTGACGAGTTTGTCCGAACACTGGAAGAGTCACCAGTTACCTTGAACTGACAGTAGGGTATAGAGAAAAGGAATAAATCCATGCAAGGATGTTTTTGTTCTGACCACTCTATGGGACTGCAGATCCAGAAGGAAAGGCCATAGAGGCAACACGATGCATGCTCAGGGAGCAAGAAGGCACACAGCACACTAGGCCTGGCACTGAAAAGAAGTTCTAACGACTATGAAACCAAAACTGATTAAATATACTATGTTTCTTCCAAAGCTATGAAAGCCTTGCTTTCACCTGCATTTGTTCTACTGCACCGACCATGGCAAAACCACTTTCTTTCAAAATTTCCACCCCCCCCCAAGCGCCTTCAAAAGATACAGCTAAGACAAAAACCAAGGAAAAACATGTAGATGCCTTGTTCAGTACACAAGCAGAATTTCATGTTCTCCCTCAAACAGTTATTTATTTTACTGAAAATACTATTTCTTTTTTGAAATCAGGGAAAATTTAGACAATTACTTTTACCTACCTAATACTTAACATCAGTAACAGTTAATTGTATTAATGCCAGAAAGTGTCTCTTCAGTTTGAATTTGTCTCTTTTGGAAACAATGCTTATCAAGCAAATTCCAAAACATCAAAAGTAGCATTTGAGCAAACCAATTTCCCAATAGACCTTTTAAGATTCTCCCTGTTCTGTTTCCTTTGGTTTAAAGAAAAACAGTGCTCAGTAGTAATACAAGCTGTACTAATAAGTCTTCCTACTTGCCACTATGTATTTTTACAGGCTAAACCTCCCACTGCAAATATTATTTCACTATGCTAGAAATTAATTACAGAGGTTTCAAAGAAAACTGGTAGTCCTCTTCACCCTTTAAATGTAAAGGATTTTATGTATAAAAATCTAAACTTCAAGAAAACCTGAATTTCCAAAACAGGTAAGGAAAAGAGCAGCTGTTAAAAAAAGCCTTAAGTAAAAAAATCCCAAACAAAACCAACAAACAAAACCAACAAACACAAAAAACTAAAAAATCCCTGTAAGAACAGTGATATATGTTTTGTACAGCTTCCCAAGTCCTTTCTTCAGAGGCAGAAATGAAACTGGTATATCAATAATAAATTTAGCCCAAATTTGCTATTCCGAAAATTGTAAACAGAACTAGTAAAGAATCCTGTATTACATAATATTGCTGTGATACATTAATCATTATCACTTACCCTGACAACATCTCAAATATAAGAATTCCTAGGGCCCACCAATCCACAGCTCTTCCATGGCCTTTGCTTTGTATAACTTCTGGTGCAAGGTACTCTGGAGTGCCACAGAGCGTCCATGTCCTGGGAGGAAAAGAAGAAAAAAAACCCCACAAACAACAAAACCACACTGAAGTGAAACTGAAATAACAGTAATAGAAAAAAACAAAAACACTATGAAGTACCCAACCTATACCTATCTATTTATTGTATATAGCAATAGGAGAAAAATGAAAGAACTCTACAAGCTCTAAAAGGACTCCTTTGATGATGCTCTCCAATGTATTAACAGTGGTAAAGCCCTGTAAGCTGCAGACCCTGAGAGTTCACGGACTACTTCTGACAGGCCCAGCAAAAAGCAAGCTTATTGGCCTTTTCCAGCAAAAAGAAAAATTTTTGCTTAGAAAAAACAAAGGGAAGAGGGAGAGATAAAAAAAGTAATAGTTTAAATCAGTAAACAGCTGCAGACATAAGTAAGATTCCTTTTACAATCTAAGTCACATTTTTCAAATAGTATTGAAATGTAACCTGTCATCACTTCCACAATACCCATTAAAAGGAAAACATTTTGTATTTTTAATTATTTAAAATATTTACAAGGTGTAGTTAAACAAGTGTGAGATATGCAAGTAATATTTTTGATATATTTTAATGTCACTTTTAGCCATAGCTTTCTTAATATAAGCTCAGGATATAAAAGTGTTATATTGCTACCTAACTGAAATGTGTATTTCAAGTTCTATAAATTCATGAAATAAATTGAAGCTAAGCAGTTAATATTTACAAAGACATAAGCAGTTAACATTTACAAAGAGCAAATTACAATTTGAAACAAAGAATATTCTGAAACCATTTCTTTCAGAAACGTGAACTCTTCTTTGTAAAAATACCCATGTGGAATTTGCCTGGCTTCACTACCTTGACTTATGTTTAAATACACACTAGAGAAAAAAAAAGTGCTTTCATTCTGAATAAATTACACTTCCCTGATAGCAAGTCGGAAGATGAAACTGAAAAAGTGCTCACTAATTCAACAGCACAGAATAAGAAAGAAAAAAGCGTATTGCATCCTGAGAAGAGTTCTAGTAAGATATGACAAAGAATACAGTCACAAAATTAATGGTCACTGCACATGATTAATAACTTGCAGCAAAAGAAACTCTAATTGTTTTATCTGTGAGTGCAGGAAGAATCTTCTCCAATCAAACTGGTAACATGGTCCTGAACAAATCCATTAAGATGAAAAGCAATCACCTTTAGAAGTAATGCAGACTCCTTGCAACTTCTGTTTTTTCCTACTGCTGTTCGGCTAAACTTAAACTTTCTTTTTCCTAACTGTAAATGGATATTCAAGATGCACCTTATGGAATCTCAGACTGTTAATAATTTTTAATTTTTTTTTTCTTTTTAAAGATTAAATAATACATTTTTCTGAGATGGCAGAATTATTTTAAACAGAGCCTTTGAGTATTTTTTTCTTGTTTTCCTTTTCTTGGTTTTTTTTTTTTTTTTTTAAGCCTTACCTTTGATTCATAAAAATACTTAAGATCAAGGAATAGGAGCTGTACAGGCAGTCAAGACTTTAAATGAAAATGTATGATGCACAGAATTGAATTCCTTTAAGCTTGATTTTAATATGGCAAAAGCTAAATTACTCCAGCTAAACTGTCAGAATGCATTAGACACACTATGCACACATGTGCTGCATGGTTCTTGAAACTACATTCATTAGTGTAAAGAATACATGTTTAATTTTTGTCATAAAAGGGTGGCATAATTTTTATTGCTAGAAAACATAAACACTCATTTTCCAAATCAACCATACTCAAGAAAATTCTTCGGTACAGCACTGCTTTACACACTACTGCCATCTAGCAGTTGCCTAGATCAGGACTAGGCAATTCAGAAAAAACAGCAAAGCTTTGCTGTCTTTTAAAACAAAATAGTCTCCCCTCCCCCGAATTTAAAAAGCTGTATTACAGTCCATTGTATGACTTTTTTTTCATATTGATTTAGCCAGCTCTGCAAATGAAGCAGCTGACCATTTTACTGTATTTGGGAAGAAGGGCTGTACAATTAAAGCAGACAGGGCAGGCACATCCATTTTAATGGACAAGCTATACAGTTTGCAGGATAATGCCCCACAACGGTCACCCTTTCCTCCCCCAAAATTGCAACACTATGAATGCACAAATTCAGCTAAGATGCAGTCTTTGGTGGTTTTCATCCCTTATCAAGGTCATTTACATACAAAAAAACCCCCAAAAAAACCCCTCAGTCCATCACTTGACCATGACTTCCAGGACCCATGTAATTTGCTGGTGACAATGTAACTAAAAAGCCTCTCAATTACCATACAGGTTAATAACAAGATCCTTTTTATTCAAGCAAAAGGAAAACCACAAATTAAGGAAAGGCAAACATAACTTGAAGTCCCCTAGCTGCACTAGGAAATAAAATTTATTACCACCAGCAGGTCATCTACTTCTCTTACTTTCAATCAAGAAATTTATGTTTAGTAAGTACACAAAAACTTGGAGGAAGCTCAAATTCTTTGTCAAGCTGTGTATTTGTGCCATAAGATCATGACTTTTATTTCCTCTTTTGTTGGTCATGGAACAAACTATTTAATATTTTGGAAAACACATCAAGTAAATTCTATAAAAAGATCAAATTGTCTTCAGTATTTCTTTTTAATCAATACCATTTCATGACTGTTGCATATTCATCTGAAAATCCAGATCATTCTTTTGAAGATAAATTATAAAGCAGAAAAATAAGAATAGACTGTTGCCTTCAAACTGCTACAAAAAGTCCACTGCTCTGGGTTTTCAAGATAAAAGCTGAAATACAGGTGAGCAATAGTTGATAGGTTGAACATGTAATTTTAAAACACGAAAATAAAACAAAGAATCTACTCTGGTCACAAAGATAAGCTATAAAATAATATTTGCAGAACTTGTTAACAGTATTATTTGAAGGAGTTAAGTCTCAATGGTTAACTATTTTAGCGTTCTACACCATTCAGCATCCATGTCTGTAGTCCCTGACAGGCTTCTTGCATACAAGCCAGAGATTAACAACATCCTTTTTGGTATTCTCTTCTGGAAGTTTCTCCATAATTATATTCAATAGAGATTGCTTTGTTTCTAGCCCACAAAGTTTGTTCTGCAAGACATTCTTGCTTCTACAGTGACAAACAATACACTTCGCAAACAAGACTTCATGTGTCTTTTTTCTCTTCAATTCACTCTGCAGAACAGTCATGAAGCACATCCAGCTTAAGTAACAGTGCAGGAGTATCCCCAAAATCTTGAAATGATTAACCTTAAAGTTTCTAGGAAGACTTTCATAGTTTAAAATTATTATTTTTTTAGGAATGTAAACTGAACAAACTACAAATAACAGTGAATAACATTACTCAATTAAAAAAAAAAAAAGCCTAAAAAATCATGAAAGTCCTAACTATACCTAAAACTTTCGTAATATTCTGAGTGAACTCTGTGCTTTAAAAAATATAAAACTCTATGAGCTTTAGTTTTGTGCTTCTCTGAAAGAACACAGGAATTACAAGAATTAAAAAAAAAAAAAAAGTGAGAAAGATCAGAAACATATTTAATGGGTATGCTATATCCAAAAAGTGGTATGTTTTCCAGAAAAAGAAAGTTCTAAAAAGGCAATGGCTATAAAGTTCAAAGCAAATCCTTTCTACCATCCTTCAGGTAACAATCATTTATGCCCCCCCCGCCTTCTTTTTTCTTGACATTGCCTTTTTTTTTTAAAAGCAGTGGCACATATATTTTATGTGAATGTACTTACAAGAAACTGAAAAAGTTACTAAGTCTTTAGTTAAGCAACACCAAAATAGAAAACAGAAGAAATAAACAGCAGCTGAGGAAAAGACACACTGTTTTGGAGAAAAACTTTTATTCTAACTACACTATGAGTGAAAAGGGAAAAAAAGGGATAAACAGAAGGATATATCAACAAGAAACAGGAGACAAGAAAACCTCCTCTTTCCTTTTTCTCCAGAAAAAAAATAAATATTAAAGCTTAGCCCTTCAGAAAATGTACTAATAAGAAGGTACATGTGCAGGCTGCTTCCCACAGTGGGAACATGAGCTCTGAGCCAGCTACTCTCCCTAAAAAGCAGCTTAATTGTAGATGGACATGGTGAACACTTCACCCTTTCACACATGGTAATGGCAAGAAAGAAAAATGCGTACAGAAAAATCTCAATTAAGCTACTACAGAATCATTCATGGGAAGTATTATGTATCAAAAATGTGTAGTTGTATTGAAGGCCTTCTGCTGACCATGCTTTATTTTACATAACATGTCTTGTCTTCTCTAGGAATACTTTTGTTGGTTCTAAGTGGCAGGCTTCCTCACAGCTGTTTGAAAAATATACATACATTGTGTCTTATTTTCACAATTCATATATACTATATATATATATATATAAACACACATACTCACATATATACACATAAGGTTCATGTGTATGGATGTTTGCCATGCATAAAAATGACAAAACATCTCCTATACTTTTGATACAAAACAACCTACTGGAGTGCATTAGTGGATAAATTGCTGGCAACTGTGTATTTTTACAGTGACAAAACCAGCACTGTGAAAATTACTACAGCTAGTGGGAACAATACTATGTAGTTCCAAAAAAACCCCCAAAACAAACAAACAAAACCCACCACCCAACACTCCAACATAAAAAAAACAAACCAGATTTGCATAGGTAACTACCTATGCTCTAACTGATAAAATCCTTGCTCCTTCCAACTTTATGTTCTGGATTTATCTTACCTGTTGTACATTTATAGGTAAATCAGCTACAAATATAAAAGTACTATAGCATTCTATGTTTCAATTCAACACAAATTGATCAATTTTACTGCCCCCCCCCAGCAATACAGGATGAAAAAAACCAATTAAAAACAGTAGTAATAACTTTTTTTGATGTCCTAAAATGTATTTGAACAAATTTACTCTTACAGATTCATCTTCCAGATTGAAAAATACACTCTGATGTGAACTATCATCTTATTTAATGAAGGGTTACTTCTCTTGTGCCTTAAACCCACAGAAATCCAAATTAAGAATAACCACTAAGTGGCAGTATCTCCATGTAAAAAGGAAGTCATAAGAATTTGTATCAAAATATCTTCTTTACTTACGTGGAAGTAGCCTTACCTCTTCCCGCAAAAAGTTATTTTAATTTAAAAACAAAATATCAAAAAAAAAGCGCCAATGTTTGTAGACCTATCTGCTTGCCCAGTGGAAACTGAATTCAGTCAAACATGTTGATATTAAAACACTATGATTTTAAAACAGACTTTTAGACCTTAAGGGTGAATAGAACCAGCATCCTTACTAGTTGCCTACCATTCTTCTGTGCCAAGGCAACCCAGCACTGTGAGCCTGTAACCTATAGGGAAGCAACCTTTATAAACTCCATAACACAATATGATATCTCAGCTGATTTTTACTTCATAAGGGATCCATTAAGAGTGGCTCCCTCAGATCAACTTTCATTTCAAATTGATGTTGTAGAATTTCCCACGCACACTGAACTGTTGCAAAAGCAGCATCAAACAGATAAACAAATGAGTGAAGAGGATGAGCACCTATGGAATGCCTAACTCACTTACAAGGCTGCCTCAACTAGAATAATCAGATAGTCTCCCTCAAGAGGTAGCCCAAGGGCATAATACCAATCCTTGTCACGCTGCTTTTCTAATATGACAGGCTAGTTTTTTCCTCCCTTTTTTTGAATCCCAATGACAGCTCTTGCTTCCTTTTAAGAACACGTATTATAATCTTGGAAGACTAGTTCAAACAGAGAGAACAGAGAAATCACTGGGGAAAACACCTCTGCGTTATCAAAAAGTTTACATATGCTAGTAAAACAGACATAAGGCTGACAGTATCATAGAAGTTACAGTTAAATAAACAACTTCTGCTGAAGCTAGCCTTATTGTTTCTGTCTAGATTTTGCAGTTTCATTTCAGCAACAGGCTAGTGAGAACACCGTATCCAGTTTTAAAATCTTACTCCCACATTTCAAAAATCTCTCTAAAATGAAAGCGGAAGGAAATACAAGTTACAAAATATTTAGCAATTCAATGTGTATGGAGGAATAATGTCCCATTTACCATGCTGATGTACATACCTCAATATTTGCTCATATTACTTCACAGAACTCCCTTTTTACAAGATGACTGCTGAAAACTTAAATATACAAAACTACTCATATAAAAATATTTTTCTACCGTAGCTTATCTGTGATACTGCTCCTAGTTATACTTAAGGTGTAATATTGGTTCTGTGCAGCCATTTTAAGACAATCATTTCCTTCATATTAAGGCATTTGACATGTGTGAACCACACGGAATGTTAGGTGAAATGCTGAGCTCTGAAATCAAACTTTTTTTCCTCCAACTGTTTAACATGCAAATGTAATTACCATAACAAAAACCTACTTACCTATCCACCAGCTTTTTAGCAAATCCAAAATCAGTAAGCTTGATATGTCCTTCTTTGTCTAGTAATATATTTTCAGGTTTTAAGTCTCTGTAAACTATTTCTTTGGAGTGCAGGTATTCTATTGCACAAATAATTTCTGTAGAGTAGAACAGTCCTGTGCTGTTGTTGAAACGCCCCATGTTGCGCAGGTAACTAAAAAGTTCTCCTCCTGGCACATATTCCATTAACATATATAAAAAACGTTCATCATGGTTGGTCCAAAATCTGTAATAAAAATATTATTTTATTGAATAAACAAATTATCTCTCCGATTTGCTTCAGAAGTAAATGTCTGTAAAATGGTTTCTGTTGCCCCACGTATGTAATTAATTTATGCTTCCTATTCCCCAAATATTAAAACCCCCAAGAATCTAGCAGGATTATGTAACAGACATTCAAGTACCTGACTTAACCTGAAAAGTAAAACGAGTAGTTCAGGATGTGCGCAGCACAGGCCAACAAAGAAAACCTAACTGATAGACTCCGTTGCATTGTACAAAACAGGTCTCTGCTAAGCACCTAACAACTGAGTTAGTGTACTGCCAGTCTAAGACCAGACAATTCGTACACACCTTATTAATCAAATATTGCCAAAGTGATGCGGGGTGAGCAGAACCTGCTTTTGTAAAGATGTTTATGACAACATGTTCAAAAACAGGACACCAGAGAGCTCTCCTTCCCCTCTCCTATCCCTTCATCCCCAGAAATATACAACCCCAACTAAAGCATCAGATTGCAATGCTTGCTCTTCTACGGTTATCTTTAACAAAAGCAATAGAAAAGCAAAAATGACAGCAAAACAAGATTTATTTCTGTACCTCGGAATTAACTTAATGATAAGTACTTTCCATTCCTCAGACTGTTGCCTTTAATTTAAAAGCTATTATTGTGGTACAGTCATTACTAGAGTGCAGTAAAGAGCAGCTAGGAAAAAATCATTCCACGTGGCTTTCAAATGCTTCATTACAGAATACAGGAATCTTCTCTCCCACGTTCCCCAAAACTAAGCTGTTTTTCCTTCTACCCACATTAAACAACTCATATACCACACACCCAAATGTAACTCAACAGTTAAGAAGAAAATAAGTATCTGGTAGAGGTCCTGAAGAATATTCTACCATTTTAAAACAAACAGCTATCCTTATTACTACTATAATAGAAAAAGAACACTGTATCCCTACCTACTTCATTGATATAAGAACAGAAGTTACTTTAGCTTCTAGTAACTGCTTCTGCAGTATCACAAGAATGGAAAGATCAAATATCTTTGGGTTTGGGTTTTTTTTCCTTCATTAGCTAGTTCCTAATCAAGGCATAGAGTCTCAAGAAAGATAAGCAGAGCAAACTGAGCTCCCAAACCCATGAGTGACTTCTGCTCAGTAAGATTTTCTTTCTTGATACCAGCACTGAGGCAACCAAGAAAATGAGACTATCAGACATCAGCAACAGCCCCTCCATTCCTTCAAAGTGATGAAGAAAGCAGAGCCCAGGCTTGCCTTTTGCTTTTATGGCACTACTTCCCTATCACAAAGTCATCAACATCATTAATTGGCTATTGATGATGTTCATAATATCTTTATTGACTATGTAAAAAACACTCTTGAGATGTATTTTAAGTAGTTAGGCAAAGTTGCACATACAATAAACAAAGAAAGAGGAACAGGAATGGGCAAAACAAAGGAAACCACATATTTAAAAAAAACACATACAGGGGAGAAGAAGGGCAAAATCTGACAAAGAATACAGAGGGAAAAAAAAAATGGAAGACCTAGACCATTAAGCCCCAGTATTTTTACTGGAATTAATTTCTTCAAGAACTGACTCCTAAAGGCTTGTCTATCCACAGAAAAAATGGATACATTATTTAGTATACATGGAAGACAGCAAAATAAAGAACTTCAATATTTGCAAAACAGATTGCTTTAAATGGTATTTTAATACAAAAAAAGAAAATATCACAGAAGAGGTCATTAGAATAATATGCAAGGTATCATGTAACTTTACAATTCAGCTTCACTACATGAACTTTGGATGCCACATTGAACTCTTACAGACAAATAACCTATTTTAGCTTATAGGACTATAAGACAGTTGATTTTTGTTAATTTTTGTTCTCTTAAAAAAAAAAAAATCAGAGATACATGTCAAAATTACAGCACAATATGCACCCACAGAAGTATGATACATCACTCAAACATGTCAGTAAAGACTGCCTAGGAGTCTCCAGTGACCAGTTGTTGCAAGAGCACCAAACAAGCATTTCCAAAAAACAGTTTAAAAAATAAGTAGATAAATAACTTCAGTATCTAGAGAAAAACGGGACCTCCCTATATGCAGGAAAAGCATTTCTCAAAAGTAATAGGAAAAGAAAAAAAAACTTTCTTATATAAAAGTCCTTATAAATAGGAAGATATAGGAAGGATGAATGCCAGAAATAAATTATGGGCAGTATTACTTTAAAACTCTCCATCATAAAGTGCTAAAAATATACAGTATTATGCTGCGCTAACATATATTCCTTGTTTTGAAACCACAGGAAGATACTATCCATGTTTAAGATGGTGACACTAGCTGAAAATATAAAAACCAGACCACGTAGATAACACAGATCAAAGGCATTGAAGCAAAACTATATAGAATTTTTTTTCCCCTTTTTGTTGATCAATTATAGTCAAAGAATTCATGGAAAAAAACCATGTACTGGGCAGGGGAGGAGACAGCTGAAAAAAACCTGTTAGCCACACAAAAAGCTGCAGAAAGTTTTATTTGTCATACAGTCAGTGATAATCATCTATGAATGCTTGTTTAACCTAAAGCACACAAATATTAACATGACTTAAAATTTAACTACTTCATTTCAGCTAGGTTGCTTTGAGTCTCCTTTGCCAAGGGACAAAGGCATCACATGGACAATTACAAGAGCATAGCTGATCCAGCATCTCATTGAACACGTCAAGGAAAAAGGCAGAGAGCTAGAAGACATGAAGAATGTTTGTCTTACACACAAGTGAACTTCCATTTGAGTTGTGTCTTTTCTTTGGCAATTTTAAAAATCTGACATTTTGGAAATAACGCCTCAATGAAATCCAAGAAAACTTACCAGTTTGGATTTTTGATCACTTCTGCATGGACACAAACCCTCACATCTCCGTCTCTGACTTCTCACCCAAGTTTCTCTATTCCCACACTTGCTGCACTGTTCCAAACGCACAAATGTACTGGGTTTTGGGGGGGGGGTGGTGGGGGGTGGTGTTCCTTGCTTTTGGTAGTTTGTTTTTCTTTTATAAAGAATTTATGTATGTACACAGATATAGATATAAAACCCTGTTCCCCCTGTTCTGTCCATATTTTAACCAGTCTAACCAGATGTACTCAGCCTCTCCATCTTGCTTTCCTGCATGCATCTTGAACTCCACACACCCTAGGACTCATCTTAAACTAATACTATGCCACACACAGTATTTCTGAACAGTGGCTGGAAACTAATAACATCATGATGCTAGAAAAAGCAAGAGAACACCAGGGAAAAAGCCTCCCCCTGCAGGGCTCTTTCTGTCTTTCGGATAACTACCATGCTTTTGCCTCTTCTTTTCCCTCTGATACTTTCTTAGCCCTGGGAGGAGGCTGCACTCCCTGCAGCTAGAGATTAACTAAGGCTAATTTTATCTAATTATATGTAAAGCTGTAAATGCAAAACAAATCTTGGTCAATGGCCCTGTATCCATGCATGAGAAAATATAAATGGAAATTAACTGTGCAATTACCCAGAGGTTTAGTTATCTCATTAATAGATATGGACTCAGATACACAAAAGGTGTTGTGGTGCTGTGAACAGAAAAGTATGATGCCTTCTCTCCTTAATAAAGGGTTCACCACAATTCCACTAAAAAAGTAGTCTTCATGAACTGTGTTTAAATCATGTTTCTCAATAGGTTCCATCACTCAACCTCAAATATGGGAATAACAAAGCCCAATAAGTGTTGCAGTCACTTAAAATTTAAACTCTTTAAAAATAAAGTTTGCAAACGTAAAGTTCAAAAAAGTTTTCGAAAAGCAAATACTTAAATCTAATTATATCTTTATCTAGGTATCTACAGGACATATGTATGTAGAAATACTTCTTTTCTTGCCATTCTAACATCAGGAATCATTCTAGAAGTCATTTTGATAAGCCAATTCTAACATTTCTTCATTAGTATTTTCCCGTCACTTAAGAAAATTTCACTTCTCCAGTATGAAAATAGAAGAAAGAGTGAAACTTACAATAAATTACTGCTTAAATGTTTAAATTATGCCTCTTGATTTGAAATCGATTCTTCTGTAATAAATACTTTAGTCTGAAGTTTATTTTAGTCTAGATTACATAATAGACATAAACGCTCGGTGTTGGTTAAGTACCTAAGAACTTGCAGTGAGACCCTGGAACACCTGAACTGCATTTTATATATGAGTTAAATGAATTATAAAATATACAACTCACAATCTGATCAAAAAGGGGTGGTTGACTTCTTTCAAGACTGACTTTTCATTGTGCACATGTTGCTCTTGCTTCAGTCGAATGACATCAGGAATGCTCATTACTTTCAGTGCAAAGTAACGTTTGGCCATTTTTTCCTTCACCAGATGAACGCGCCCAAAGGTACCTGTGCCTGAAAAGTTGAAGAAAAGTCAACTTATTGTGAAAAAGACAAAAAACAAAGATAATTTACTAAATTAAAACCTACAGGAACACAATTCCTGGTTTGTTTGGGTTTGTTTTTTTCTCATCAATATACCGGTACTACATTTTTTTTACCTGTTTTCATACCATTTTTTTCTTGGGATTTCTCAATTTTTAGTGATAATGATTTAATAAAAATAATGGTATTGTGATACTGCCACTCTTTGGAAAGATACTGGAAGCATTTCTTGCAAAGAAGAGAAGTGGTCCTGAGAAAGGGTAAGGAAGATGTATGAAAAAAGAGAAAAAAGTATGTAATATGTAATATTTGAATATAACCAATATAAATGAAACAAGCAAAACTGTTCTCAAGTACAGAAGAAAGCCTGGGAAAAACTCTTTTAAACTTCAGAGATCAGTTTTAATTTAGATAGGGTGTGGAGGGATGGGGATAAACTCAAAAGTAACATTCAGCTTATTATATCCACAGTGTGTGATGTAAAAGAAAAAAAAAAAAATCTCGTTACTGCCCAAGAATGTAATGTTCAATTGTAATGGATTTATTAATTCCTCAACACAAAAAGCTACTTAATTTTCTATATATTATTTATTAAAACAAGGTAGCTAAAATCAATCAGCGTTCACAATGTAGGAACTCGTAACATGAAGAGTACAGAAAACACAAAAATGACGACAAAAAAAATTTCAAAATATTCATCTACCAAGGTTCAGTGACTGAGAACAGCTGTCTGCAATCATTCAGGCGAGTAGATTATTTTCTTAAATGTGCACAGATAGGTGAAGTAGGATAAGGGAGAGATGGGAATAAGTACTTAAAAGTTGCTGACCCTTCTAAAAACAAATAAAAAATCTGCTTATAGTGCTGCATTGTTATATCACATGGCAACAGTAGATTTCAGGCACCTGTTTTTTGTAGTTAATGTATTCCTTTTTCAATTCACTCTTAAAAATATAAGAGGAAATAAAAACATTGCCTTTTAAATAATGTATTATGCATTTCTCTATTTCTCAGTAGTCATTAAAGTTCCTTTTAAGTGCACTGCGCTCAAGACAATTATATGTAACTGAACTCAGTATTTCTTTTAGTTTGAAATGAAAGTTAAAATTAGTACATTTAGCCACACTGCTATTTGTACTGCAGCACAGTGTTATACATTTGAAGATGAATACACATTTCAGCTTGTTGGGTGGTTGCTCATTGTTTTTTTGTTCATTAAACAATGCCATGTAGGTTCCATTAGAACAGTGCACCAGGTATTTTTAATCCTATTCTCTGACAGAAATATGTGCCACTATAAAGGATGCTTGGCATTCAGACCAATTCCCTAACTTGTAAAAGGTCACTCTTGTTGAGAAACACCTTTCAAAGAGTTCAAAATCTTATACTTCACAGTCATCCCCTTCTTCGCACATACCCTAAGAAGGCAGCCCATAGACCTGTTTCAGCATTATTAACTGGTATGTCAATTGATTTCAGATTGTGCTGACCTGTTACGATCCATCTATACTACAAGACAATTTTGTAAGACATGTAATGGGTGCAGGGACACGAGTATGTATGTGAAAGGAAATAGATTTTTGAGAGAGAGAGGCAGGGGGGAAAGACCAAAAAATGAACTTCCAAAACTGTATTACTTGGGGAGGGGAGAAAAAGCAAGGGAGTTTTTGCCTCTGGTAGGTTCAAGAATCTTGAGAATTTATTAAAAAAAAAAGTTTGTTTTCTGTATGTGTATTCTCACTTAAAACATTTACATTTTATCTAACAGTTATTCTTTCCAGCCACTTGTAATATTGTTTAAGAGCATGGCATTTACTAAAAAACAAAACAAAATACTCGTATTACAAACTGGAAACTAACAACTTCAGCAATCCAGTTTTAGGGAACTTGCAGGTCCACTACCAATACAGCTTTCAAAACCAGCTTTCGAGATAAAACTTCTCACTACACAAACCCACCAAGGACTACAGTTGTCCAAGCACAGAAGATTCTATCAAAGCAGTTTTACATTCCCACCGGTCCTGAGTTACAGTTCTTTAACCTTAAAAACTGCAAATAGGTCTCAGATAAAGCCTGCCATTATAGTGAAGTAAGCCATCAGGTTACTCCGGAAAATTTATCATGCAATTAAATCCTTTAACAATGCAGTCACATTACATGACTATACCTGTAAACAACCTTATTTGCACGGGGATGGGCTTCTGCAGTAAAAACACCCGTAACAAAAAAAAAGGCCCAAAAGCTTCCAAGCAGAGCCATCTGTTCAAGCTACTTAAAATACTGATTATGTACATCTATATTGAATGCATAGACAAAAAAAATTAGGTTATTTCAGAATTAGGAGCTGAAATTTAAGTTCTGAGTAAAAACACTGTCAAGAATAACTATATCCGTATTGCACACCAAAATTAAAAATCATCTTAAATTTTTAAGACTTCCAAATGTGGACTCAGGGAAATCAACAGTACCAACTCCATAAGCAAATACTGCTTTTGTATGCATTTTTATACTTGTATGAACAAAGTGCTTCCATAGACATATTCAAGAGGAAAGTCAGAAGTGAACACATACCTAATTGTTCCTAGGTCTCCAGTGATCTCATGTTTCATGACTTGTTCTACTTGTCCTAGAAATTTTTATTTTAGAACAATTTAATTTTTCTTTATGCTATTGGTCTAACTTTACAAATGGTGCTGCTGAGAAATAGTAACAGTAATAATAATAGCAATCACAAGTTCCATCCATTTTCAAAGAAGGACCTGTCGGAGACTTATTTAGCAACAGTTCTAACTTTGGAAACACGGCCTCTTTAAAAACATCTCTGCCAGGAACGGCAAAGCCTGGCAGGCTATTCCAGAATAGTGGCAAGCACCTAATCTCAAGAGCCTCCGGGAAAACCAGAAGACCACACAGACAGGCGAGAACATACAACCTCCCTAGCTAGTTTTATTGTTGAACTGATTGCAGTCTTTCTTCAAACATCTTTAGCCCAATTTCAAGCAGCTATGGAAATCAAGATGACAATACAGACCAAGAAGCCATCTAACATTTGTTTTCAGATGTCTGTTCTCATAATATGAATTTTCTCCCATTCAAGTCTTCTCAGAAAATCCATTAGGCCTACATCAGTTTGTAGTGACAGTACCCAGACGCAAAACCTTCCAGCACTTTTGACAAACAATACATTCTCTTAAAGCCCTAAAGAAAAATAATAGTGATGTTCTGGAATTTACTTACACCATTTAAGCTGTTCAGTCAAACTCCTCTCACTGCAAAGAGAAGCTAAGAGCAAACATGGCGAGTACTACATATTTTTTCAACCAAGAAAAAAAAAGACTTTAACCATGTGGGGCCATTAACAAGGGGGAGCAGGGGAACTTGGCTGAAACTTAAAACCAGTTGTGTAAAGCATGCAAATGGAGTTTAATTTATGCCTTTGCACAGCCACATACAGGACTAATTGTTGAGTTGGTTTTTTTTATGCTTAGCCAGTCTTCAGAAAACCAGATAGAGTTTGCATACAAAGATGACTACAATTCAAATACCTCACTTCAAACCTTCAAACTTTTGGTCTGGATCCCCTGCTCATGCTTTCAGCCATTTCTGCAAAGATTTTTAAAATTCTCTTCCTTGCAAACGGAGTAGGGGGTGGTGGGGCGGCGAGGGAGGAATGGGATGGGACATGACAGTCAAGAAAATCTAGCTGTTTTATAAAAACAGGTCTTATTGTTGTGACTAGGTGTAAATTCTGCCCCTCACATTCATGGAAAGAAAACTAAAAAATTGAAGCAGCAAAGTGGCAGCATGTAAGATAGAAGCCCAGGCTCCATAAATTTGAGGACAGGTTTTTGGAAGCAGAAAAAGGCAGGGTTCCTAGTCTTCCAACAAAGCACCACTGCCTTCTGCCCACCAGGAAGGAGACACTAAGCTATTGAAACAGTTTCTGTTAATCCTCATGAAAGAATTGTTCAAATTTTTGCCTCCATCACCTCAGAGCTCAGCTGTATGAACCAGCTAAATTTGACCTTCTGTGACAGATAAGTAAACATTCCTTAGGATTACCTTAAAATAGAAATATCTGTACTTGCCCATCTTGCACATAATAATGAAAGGAAATACGGTGTGTACAGATTTGCACAGTATTCTACTGACATTTATTTAATGTTTATTTCAAACCAAGAGAACGTCAGGGACCGTGTACCTTTCTGGATGAGTCCCAGGATCTACTGAGTACTATCCTGCTGAAGGAAGAGCAATGGCTATATACATACAGGGGCACACATGCGTACCCCTACCTCTATCTATTATAGCACGTAATGCCAGAGTTTTAGAGCAAAAATGTGCTTACATCAGAAAACTATACCTCATGAAAACAGTTGTTATTAGAAGGTCTAAAGGAGGATTTGTAGTTTATTTACACAGTCCCTTTCTCCGTGCTAAGGCATATAGCAAAAGAAGGTTTCTGGCCACCAGTAACAAAAGCAAGTGAAGAGTGCCTGTGCTATTTGCAACATGCAACACAATGCAAGATTTTTCAGGACTAAACGGGCAAACAGAATAAAACACGCAAAATACTAACCACTAATCCAGTACAATCTGTTTACTACAGAAACAATAAAAATTCTGGATCCCTTTGCAAATTTAATGTGGTTGCAGAACTTGAAGGAATGCCAGCAACCTTCTCAATTAGGTAACCTTCTCATGTGAAACACACAGAAAGGGAACAGGCGAAAAACTGCAGAGGACCAGCTTGGCCTAGGTATCAAACACAAGAAGGGCATTCTCAGTCTTACAAAACAAGCTGGAGTCCCTAACACCATGCCAAAATACCATAGCCAGTTTCCAGGATTTTACTCTCTTTGAAGCCTGGTAAAAAAGAATAAAGAATGTGAGACTATTTCTGATGCAATTTTAGATACTTTTGATGCTAGGAAAACCAATCCTGCAACTTTTGATCAGCTAAAACAATT